AGCTGTGGTTTTGGAAGTATCCCTTATCAAGTTGAAGAAGTTCCAGTGTGTTCTTAGTGTATTGTTTTTATCATGAAACTGTGTTGGATATGTCAAATGCTTTGTCTATGTTTGTTGAGATGATGGAGTGGTTTTTATCCTTTAATTCTATTAATGTGGTGCATTACATTCATTTATTTTGTGTGTTAAACCAACTTTGCATTCCTACTGTGTTATACTTTTTATTAAAATATTGTTTCTTCCTTGGTAGACAAATTGAGGTTTAGTTATCTTCTATGATTTTCCCATTTTGGAGTAATTTCTCAGAAACCTTTTTTATTTTCAGTGATTAGCTGATAAGAAAATCATTCAAAGCTGATTCTACCCTTACAAAAAATAACATTCAGACTTTTCTGCTTTGTCATGTTCTATCCTGTCTAGTCATAATTTGGAAAAACTCAGTCTTGGGAACCTTGAGATCAGAGTTCCTATGTTAAGCCTTAACAGTAGCTCATACGTGCTTTGCCATTTTTATAGTTGGGTTGTGTCAGTTTATGTTTGGCCTCTGAACAGAGATGACTTTTGCTTTTGGATAATCTGCTTTAAAGGCATATTTAGAAGTTTTGTGTGAGTGTGTACATGTGTGGGCTGGCAGAACATTTTTTCACTTTTCTTTATGTAAATATGTACTAACCCAGTGTACTCTGTGATCGTAGTCATGAGTGTACGTGGAAGTTCCCCGACATACCTGACACTTTCAGTAAACTTCATGTTCCAGGAAAGCAGGTCCTTATTCTGGATAAGTTCCTGTTAAAAATTTTTGTGAGGGAGTTGTGATCTCAAATTTCCTTTCAGTGGATTTTTTAGAATTGTTGTGTTACTGTTTGAGTCCCTCCAGTATGCATATATTCTGATATGGGCTGCAGAGTGTGAAGTGAATTCCCTCGCCCTCAGTCCTCCTGTTACAGATTCACAACAAAGGGAGATGGTCGATTTGGTAGTGGTTACCAGAGTAACCACTGAAGGTGAGCTTGCTGAGTTGTGCACAAAGAATACTCAATTAAAATGAATTCAGGATAGTCTGGAAGCATCCAAGGGAACAAGGAAGAAATCTCATAGGTGAATTGGGTTGAGGGAAGCAGATGGCATGGGTTGCCAGTTTTCATAGCAGAAAGACAGGGGGAGTGTTGGAGGAAAGGGAAGTTGCAGTAGAGAGGTTTGGAGGGTAGGAGCCAGAGTCAGATTAGGGAGAGTAGAGCCCAGCGCAGATGAATTCAGATGGAGATGGATGACTGACATCAAAGTGACGGTAGGGAAGATGCAGCTCCTTACAGAAGTGTGATAGATGCACAAATGGACATGGACCCCAAACATGCAATAGTGGTCATCATAAAGCAAAAATATCTGTGCAGTCATTCTTACTGCATGGCGGGGTGTGCAGTCCCTCAGTATCTTAGGCCCTTCAAGGTAACTGCCACCCCAATTCTGACCTTGTAGATTCTCTGTTCTTCTACTCCTGGGGCTTAGACCACAGTTTGCCACAGTGCTATGAACTTAAAGCATCTCCTAAAACTCCAGTGTGGGAAACTAAATTGCTAGTGCAGTAGTATTGGGAGATGTTTGGGTCAGGAGCACCTTCCCTATGAGTGGGTTGCTGCCATTATACAAAGGCTGGATGGGGAGTTTTGTCCCTCTTTGCTCCTGCACCTTCCCTCATGTGAGGATGCAGCAAGAGACCCCTCACCAGACAGCAAGTGCTTGGTCTTGGACTTTCTGACCTCTAGAACTATGAGAAATAATTTTCCATTCTCCACAAATTACTAGTCTCAAATATTCTGTTATAACAGACAGACTAGGACAGGGCAGTCACCCCCTGCCACACCCCAGCCAGGTTTAACCAACCAGCAGCCTCCCCCAAGCCACTGAACTACTGAATGGTCATGTTTTACACCTGTACTTCATTCACTCAAGGGTAAATCCCATGAAGGCAGGATATGTCCCCAGAGCAGTGTTTGTTGGATTAAGAGATGAACAGTACCTTAAATCCCAAGTGGGTGTGATAGTGGGAGGTAACCTGCTTGCCTTTGGTTTTTTTTGTGACAAGGTCTCACTGTGCAGTTCAGGCTGGCCTTGAGCTCACTGTGTGGTCCAGGCTGGCCTCCAATTCACAGTGATCCTTCTGCATCAGCCTCCCACGTGCTGGGTTACAGGCATATGCCACCATACCTGACTCTAGGTGACCTGCATGTCTGTGATGTAGTCACCCTTCTCTCCTGTAAGAAGACTTCCTGCATATGTTCCCCCAAGTCATCTACCTCTCCCTTTCACTCCTAACAAATCATCTTTTCTCATGCCTCATGGAAAAAATACACTTCGCTGAGCTATGGGGTTCACATCGTGGTCCTTCTGGGCTGTGCATACACTCTGACTTCTGCCAGGAGGGGGCACCATCTAACTTCATGCAGCTCACCTGGTTCTGCATCTCCACTCTTGCCTGGTTTTTCACTCCTTATACCTGGTCCCAGATATGACTTAATATTATCTTGGTTTTTTTAGAGATGGAGTCTTGCTGTATTGTCCAGTTTGGCCTCCAGCTTGGGATTCTCCTGCCTCAACCTCCTGAGGAATAGCTGATTACAAGAGTGTCCCACCACACCTGAGTTCCATCTTTTAATAACCCTGGGGACTTTACTTCCCTCTTCACTTCATTTTGCATCCTCCCTCCCATCCACATGATCTTATTTCTATTTCCTTGCCACCTGTCCCTCCATGCCCACCTCCTGGCTTTGAAGCATCCTCAGCAGCCCCTACTTCTAAGCAGTGTGCTTATGCTCTAACTCAGTGCTGGTGAACTGACGGGTATACATGCCGCAGCGGCAGCGGGCACACAGAGCCCTCTCTGTGGGCATGCAAGCCAAGTGTATGAGTTGTTTTCTCTAAACTGAAACCTCATTGTTCAGGTTTAATTGCATTGTTGACACTGGTTTTTTTTTGGTACGGGGGATCAAACTCAGGACCTTGTACTTTTTGATAAATAAGTGGGTTTGGGGTTGCAGTTTGGGCTCAGTCTTTAAAAGGTTTGCCATCACTGCACTAACTGATCTGATTTTGAAAAGTATTAGCTTCCTATTATGGTAACTGATGACTTAGCTTTTTTTTTTTTTAAACTATTATCACCTTTGGCCCACATGTACTGTCCCAAAGTAGAGAATTCTATTACAAGAGTTTGTCACATCAGTATTGTGTTATTGTTTGTTATAGAACTATTGCATATCTTTTCTTTTTCATTAGCTCTTTCCTTGAGCTAATGATTCCTGATCTTTTGCCTTGAGATTAGTCGTCAGTGTCTTTAGTGCCCTTTTTAAAAGTCAGGTGATCTTGTAGCTCTTCATCCTCAGAGATGAATTTTGTAGCCACAATCTCCAGCACTAATTGCTAATCTCAGGGTCTCTTGGCTACATGGCTCTTACCTTGGGACTTTCTTCATCATTTTCTTAGAAGTCAGTTCCCTGTTCTTCCTTTTTCTGGTTTTTTTTCTCTCATTTTGCCAAATCATGCCTTCCTAAAGAAGGGGTTTTGTTTGTTTTGGCTCTTTGCCTGTTTGAAAACATTTTTACTCCTTCCTCAACTTGGATTGAAAATTTGCCTATGTATAGAATCCTAGTTGAAATTATTTCTTCTTAAAATTTTGAGGGTGGTTGATATTTCCTCTACCATTTTTCTGTAAACTGTGTGACACTGTCTGATTCCCTTCCTTCTATGGATGACCTGTGTTTGCTCTGGGAATCCTAAGAATCTTCTGTCATTGTTGTGTAAATATCCTTGGCCTGCTTCTCTTCATTAATTGTGCTGATGCCCATTGGTCCCCAGGCTCATGAGGCTCTCCTAAAATTTATCTTTCTCTTCCTGTTGTCTGTCTCTTTTCACTTGGTCTTGAGGCTTTATTGTTGCTCAGTTTCCATTTCAGATAGCACTTCTTCCTGTATCCTTTCTCACAGCCTTGAAGACCTGGTTGGATGTTGTGGCTGAGACAAGCCCAGGGACAGTTGGTGCCATGCTGGCATCCATCTTCTCCACCAGGCAAGAGTGATAGAGGGATTGTGCTACCAGGAGGCACTCAGCCAGATGCTGGTGTGCTGGTGATGTGAGCTCTGTGACGAGGTAGCAGCTCCCTGGACCCTGATGCTCAGTTTTGACACATTTAACACACCGCCTCTCTCTTTCCTTTGTTTTGGTGACTTCTCTCGCATGTCTGCAGATCTGAGCTCTAGCTTTCTGTTTGAGAGTGAAGCCAGCAGGCAGTAGGTGGACTTTGAGAACCCCAAATATTTGCATGTTGAGGCCTTTTCTCCCAGGCTTTGGCATTTCAGAGAAGAATCCTGGGAGAAGTGGGTTGCTGAGCTCCTGGTAGCCAGTGTCTGAGGAACAAGAATTGGGAATAGTGATCCTAACAGGGTGGGGTGGAGTCTTGTGCACCCAGCAGTTCTGTCATCAAACTTCCTGCATCTCCAGGCCAGCACCTGGCTTGAGCATGGCACCACAAGGCTTGGCACATGTGTGCACTTAGGCTATAAGTCTGCACCCACTTCTCCTGTGCAGTCCTCCACGGTGTTTGTCAGAGCCACCGTACACAGGTTCTTCAACACAGCTCATACAGCATCCTTCTCACCCCTTGTTAGGGAAGGAACATGAGTACGTGTGCAGTCCACCACATTCAACAGGGAAGTCTGAGATGGACTCTCCTGGCTGCTGGTGATGGCTAGGTTTTGATGTGATCTAAACATTTAGCAGGGTGTTATGAATCCATATGACAGCCACCTTCTAGCTAAGTGCCTCAGAACAGTTTGTGGAACCACTGTGGCTGAGTAGAGACCCCGTACCACCACGGGACAGCGAGGGGGTGTCAGGCTGTGCTGTGTACAGGCACTCTAGTAGGAAAGTGGAGGTAGAATCGAATCTCCTCTATGTGGTAATTTTGAAATACCCAGTACCTTGTGTCAATACTGTATTTATGCTTTTAGCATCAGTCTTGTTGTGTAAAACAGTATCTATGAGGGCCGGGGATTTAGCTCAGTGGTTTCGCTGCCTGCTGCACAAGCGCAAGGACCCGAGTTGGATCTCAGGTACCAAAAAAACAAAAGAAGTGGAAAAACAGTATCTATCAAATAAATTGATGTTGATAATTTAAATTTTATTGCTTTTGTATTTATTTTGGGTTCAGAGCTTATTTAAACTTTACAAAGATTTTTTTTCTGATTTTTTTTTTTAAGAGTTTTTCTAAGCCCATACATATTTATGTGACTTAATGAAGGTTATTTCTCAGCACTGCCAATTTTGGGTGTTTCTTTTTTAAAAGATTCAGTCCCAGCTGGACCTGATTGCTGCACATCTGTAATCTCAGTGTTATGGGAAGCTGAGGCAGGTAGATACAAACCCAGGCTAGGAAACTTAGCAAGACTCTGTCTCAAAATAAAAATCAATCCCTGGTACCCCAAAAAATAAAAAAAAAAAGTCAGTCGGTCTATCAAACAAACTAGCTGGGGATTTAGCTTAGTACAAAGATCCTGGGTTGAATTGCCAGTACAAAAAGCAAAAACAAAAATCTCAGCCCATTTTAATTAAATTTGAAAATCATTGATAGCTAGAATAGCATTAATTATATAATATTGTATATCTTCTGGGTATAAATAACATAAGTTTAGTCTCTTTTATTCCAATATAGAAAATGTTAGTTTCATTTAAGCACATTAGGTTATTTTGAGTAATTTAAGAATGATGGAGCCGGGCGTGGTGGCGCATCCCTGTAGTCCCAGCACTCAGGAGGCTGAGGGAGTAGAATGGCCATGAATTCGAGGCCAGCCTGGGCTACATAATGAGTTCAAGGCCAGACTGAACAACATAGCAAGAACCTGTCTCACACACACCAAAAGAATGATGGAGTGGATGTATAGTTTAGTAGTAGAGCACTTGCCTAGTATGCAGAAAGCCCTGGGTTCAATATCCAGCACTACAAAAACAGATTGAAAGAGAAGTTTCTAATAAAAAGTAGCTTAATCCTTTCCTGGAAATTTTGTTTTGTTTTGTTTTGGTTTGGTTTGGTTTTTGCTTTTGTCTTTTGTTTTTAAGAAAGCAATCTCAGCAGTGGAATTCAGATACAGAATCAGTGAACAGTGCCAAATATCATCAAGTTCATTCTGCAGATGTTAGCAGGAAACTGTAGTTAACGACTAATTTGATTAAAATGTTTCTGTAGACCTTTAAGAATTGCATTCTCCTCTTGCCATTTTTATGAGAGGGTTTTCAAGTATTCTCAACCTTTAGGTTCATTTCTTAGTAGTAGACACGTTGTTTACAATAGCTGTGTAGTTTTGTCTTTGAAAACTTCCGTTAGTGGTGCTTCAGGCCTTGGTGCGTAGAGTGGCCATTTTGCTTGCCTGTGCATTGGTGCCTGGCAGCAGAGATGAGTTAGTTTCTGGTTGATCAGCTGTTCTTGAAACTGCTGCACTTCAGACTGAGGTGAAGTATCTAATTGTGGTCACAGGATTCGCCCAGACCAGCCCTCAGTACCCAGAACTAGGGCCCAACCTACTTCTCATTCAGGCAGTATGACACAGCTGAGCTGCAGAGCAGGTTCCTCCAGAGTCTATCACAGAGCCTTTTCTTGAAAATATAAGATCTTTTTTCAAGGCGAAGACCTGGGATAGTTTTCTTTTTTTATTTTTTGTTGGTACCAGGGATCGAACTCGGGTCCTTGCACTTGCAAGGCAAGCAACGGAACCACTGAGCTAAATCCCCAGCCCTAGTTTTCTTGACTTAATAATCTGTGTTGCCCAAGTGTAATGGTACACACCTATATTATCAGCAGCCTGAGAGGTTTAAACAAGAGAATTTCAAACTTGAACCCAACCCGAGCAACTTAGTGAGACCTTGTCTCAGAATTTAAAAAAAGAAAAGAAAGAAAAAGGCTAGAGATGTAGCTCAGTGTGAAGGCCCTAGGTTTAGTCCTCAGAATTGAGGGGAGCAAAAAAGTCATAAATTCCCGATCTGTCCCCTCTAAACCAAAGGATTTGCCTCAGAGAACCAAAGGACTTTTCCAGTGATTGTTTTGTTCTTTGAACCCCATGGTTTTTATTTCTGGATGAGCCATGTCCAAGATCTTTGTGTTGTGGGCCAGAAATCGCAAGTATCTTACTGTCTCGCTTTGTAATGATGTCATTATCAAAGGGACATTAATTTTATCCAGATATAGATATAGGATGTGTACTATCTATACTATTTTGTATAGATGCAAACAAAAGTTACTGTGTAGAATATTAAACATTTACTAGATAGCTCAGTCTAGATAAATGCTAGTGTGCCAGGGGACCAGGCACTGATCAGTGGAGTCAAACTCAAACATGCTGATTTGCTCTCTATCCTAGAGACAAGAAACAACCACCTGGTAATAAAAAATTCACCATGGAAGTTTCTCTTTGATCAGAGAGAATGTTTTGTGTGTTCATCTTTTGGTTTTTGATATTCCTTCTGACTCCTCCCAAAAATATAGTCTGTAATTGCTTCTGTATTTTATTGACAGCTGACATCATTTCAACTGTTGAATTTAATTACTCTGGAGACCTTCTTGCAACAGGAGACAAGGGTGGCAGAGTTGTTATTTTTCAACGGGAACAAGAGGTCAGTAATTTACAATCCACAAATCAAATGAAATAATTCAACTCTTTGCATGTCACTAACAAGAAAGGAAGCAAAACTATTTCCTGTGTCTTTTGCTTCACATCCATCCTATTGTATTGACCTTGTAGAATCTGCTTTCATACCTTTCCTAAAGGATAAGCAAGAAGATCTGTGTCTCACTGCCAGGCTCCCTTGAGTCCCTGGTGCCTTCATCTAAAGTAGGGGAGAATCCTTTCCATACCCAAAGGTTGGTGAGGACTCAAGGAAGGAGGAATGGAGGTGGTGGTATTTGGAATGTGTGTGCTTTCGTTTAGTGATTAACTGAAGAGGCTGCCTGGAAATCTCTTGCTGCAGAGAAATGGGGTGGGGCATAGATCCTCTTTGTAGAGACTAGTACTCACTTCTTTACACTCCTGAAGGTTTTCCTGTCCTTATGGAAAAGAGTTCACAGGTGAATTCACTCATAAGAGAAACCCTTACCACTGACACTGCACCCCCATTTCTGGTAAGGCTCATCAGAGCTCTTAGTGATGATTAAGGAACAAGATTGTTATCTGTGTCAGGTACAGTGGCCCTTACCTGTAATTCCAGCTATCCAAGAGGCTGAAGCAGGAAGATTGTGAGTTTGAGCAGCCTGGGCAGCTTAGACCTTGTCTTTAAAAAAAGTTTTGAAGAGGGCTAGAGATTTAGCTCAGTGATTCCACCACCTGCCTCCCAAGCACAAGGTCCCAGCGTTTGATCTCCGGTACCAAATAAATGAATGGGGGGGGGGGGGAGAAAAGAAAAGAGAAAAGAAAGTTAGTTAGTTTTTAAGAGCTGGGGAAATGTAGTTCAGTGTAGAGCAGTTGCCTGGCATGAGTAAGTCCTTAAACTTAAGAAGGAGGGCAGAGTCTGAGGGAGTATCTGTGGTAGAATACTTGCCCAACATGTGTTAGGCCAATTCCTAACATCACCAAACACACACACACACACAATTGTTTTGTAAGAACAAGATGAGGGAACCATGGTGCACCAAGCCCAGGGCCTCTGCAAAACACTCGTCTTGCTTTTTTTCAGGACCTTGAGCTTGAGAGGCAGGTGTGGTGCCACCAAGCTAAATCCCCAGTCCCTGGTCTTGCTTTTTGTCTAAGCAAGCTCATCCTCTTCTTATCAATTCCAAATTCTAGTCTATGCATTATTGTAAAAATTTGATTCAGAAATCAGTGGGCCCTTTTCCTTTCCATGTGGATCAGCTGTGTGTAGGACGTGGTGGTTCAGTGCCATTCCCTGCAGCTGGCAAGGGGAGCTTTCAAAAGTGGGTAGGACAGCCAGGGATTTAGCTTAGTGGTTCTACCGCCTGCCTTGCAAGCGCAAGGACCCAAGTTCGATCCCCGGTACCAAAAAAAACAAAAACAAAAGTGGGTAGGACAACCCCTGGGCAACCAGTGGGCCCAAAGGATTGCTTGATTAAATGGGAAAGGTGGGTAAAGCTAATAAGTCGCACCAAAATATAGTATGCCTGGATGGGTTGGTAACACACACTTGTAATCCCAGCACTCAGGAGACTGAGGCAGGAGGATTGCCACAAGTTCAAGGCCAGCCTGAGGAACATGCCAAGTCCCTGTCTCAGAAAACCAACCAAACAAAAAGAGCCAGTTGCAACTACCGTTTTTATTGTGTCATGAAAGATTTTTTTATGTTTTGTTTTTTGTTTTGGGTTCTTTTTTTAACTTTATATTTTTTATTAGTACATGTTTGTCTCATATTGATTGCATTCTCTTTTTGTTTTTTATTTTTTAACTATATTTTTTATTAGTACATAGTTGTCATACATATTGATCACATTCTCTTTGTTTAGTTCATGAAAGATTTTTAGAAGTTCTCTTTTCTGTGACTTGGGCTGGTGAGAAATCCTTTTGTAAATAATATGTATATTATCTTTAGTCTTTCTAAATCTATATAGGCAATTTGATGAATTTATAATTTTATACTCTTATCTCAAAGGTAGATTATCACACAGTACTACTTAAAAACCATATATCTTACCTTTTAACAGCACAATTATTGAACAGGTTGTTAAATTCAAGACTTCACTTTAGTTCTTTAAAAAGATTTGCTGTTGATATCTATACGGAAGATATAATGTCTCTTACCCTTGATAGATCCTAGGATAGAAAATGAAAATTTTCATTTCTTCAAAATTTCCTTGTTTTCTTGTTGCTTAAACTTTTAAAATACTAGCTTTAATCTGGGTGTGGTGACACTCCCCTGTAATCCCAGCACTTGGAAGACAGAGGCAGGAGGATCACTGGGAATTTGAGGCCAGCTGGGGGTACATAGTGAGTTCCAGCCATCGTGAACTACATAGTGAGTCTCTGTCTCAACAAACACACACCCCAAAAAATGTACTATCTTCAGATATAAAAGAAACTATGATAAAAAGTCAAGTGTCTTGTTCTAAATATATTGGATATTGCAGAGTTTTAGTATTTAGTTAAGGAATGTTAAGTCAGGGCATGAAAAGACAGACTTGTACAAGAGCAGGTTCCTAAGGTGTTTGCAGTAATCCTGATCAATTGCAACTTGATAAACTGTAAACCATTTGTTTTTATCTTTGTATTCTTTTTTTTTTTTAACACAAAAGCTTCCTGTCTCCTTTTTGGATACTTCCTAACTGCCATGTATAAGGCATTCTGTGGGCCCGAGGTTTCCCAGTGTTGTTGGGGAATGTGGACTTCTGTTTTCACCAACAGTCAAAGCCACTCTTGGTGTTAGTGCACACTGAGCAGGCCCACTGTGTAGTTATGCACCACAGGCCCCAGGCTCAGACATGTCAGATGTACATATTAGAATTGTGGAAGCTAGAGGATTGCTGAAGGATAGTGTCCCAGTGGTGTGGAAGGGGAAGGGGCGAACTGGTAGAATAGGGAGTTAGGTTGCTAGGAACCTGTTAGGAAGCTCTGGCTGGGTAGAATACAGCAGGTAAGTAGAAAGCATGGTTAGTAGTGTGATCGGAGCTTTGCACTTTTTTAAACTAGGCATTAAACCTAGGGCCTTTGCACTGAGTTACACCCTCAGCCCTTTTTATTTTCAGACCGCGTGTCTCACTGAGATGCTAAGTTGCCCAGACTGGGCTCAAGCTTGCAGTCTTTCTGCCTCAGCTGCCCACAGTGCTGGGATTACAGGTGTGTGTCACCACACCCTGCTTGAGCTATTTCTTTCCTTAGTAGCAGAGCCATTATCCATGTTAAATCCTAAGTGAAGTTATGTGTAAAATGAAAGAATACAGTTTATGGGCATGACCCTACTCTAGAACTCAACTCTAGTCTGCTCAGCACTAGTCTCTTACAAGTGTGCAGCTTCACCCCGACAGAGTCAGGTCATCCAGTTAAAGCAGGTATCAGCACGCACAGAAACAAAGTGAGCCTTCTGTCGGTTCCCTTTCCTATTTGTTGTCCTGTCCTAGCAGCTATGCTTCGCAGACCCTCCATCCACCCTAGTCCCTATAAGGCTTCCTTCAGAATTCCTTTCCTCATATAGAGTGGGATAGTCTCTCTATGCACACTAGGGACTGATGAGTCCTTCTTAGTTGGCAAAGGCTGAGGGGAACTTGGGCTTGAGGAATTTGGGTGGGAGTTTTGAGAGTAGTTATAGTGAGAGTTTGCATTTCTCTGACTTCTGGGCAAAGTGTCCAGGGCAGCAGGTAGCACTGATTTATTTGTATCCCACCAGTTTCCTCAGCAAGTGAATGTCTTGGGCATGAGACTAAATTCCACAAATATTTCTTTTGAAACAGTTCAATTTTGTTTTTCTCCTTTCCAAGTTAGAAGTGTGTTCATGAATTTTGCTTCTTTGTGAGAGGAGTGGGGCATGCTCAGGGGGATAAGTAGCTTAACACCATTAACCCTCTAATATAGCATACCTAAGGAAACCACTTGGTGAGGGGATTTCCACTTCCTTCTGGTGAGTGCTGAATTCAAGAAACATGCAATGTGTAGAAATCTTCTCATGATATTTCATCTTAATTCAGAAATATAAAGCACAGATTTTGAAAAGATTTGATCAGTTTCCTTGGCATACATACTAAAGTGCTAAAAATGTAAGATTTTAGATATTGGTTACATAGCAAGAATTAAGATATAAAAGGAAAGAAAATACCCAGGATACAGATGATATGCCCACTATGCCCCTCACTCATTCTCCTACTTTCTTCATCTCACTTGATTACACCTCTACCCTCCCAGAATTGCCCATTACTTGAAAGATGGTATATATTTTTCCAAGCATGTTTTTCTACTTTACTGTTAAATTTAGAATTATTTGTGTGTGCTAAATTTATATAAGCTGCACCTTACCATTGATAACTGTGCAGCTTCTTCTCCTACATGAATTTGTAGGACCTATTGTTGCCAGTCCATGAACTTACTTGCTGTGTGGTTTGTATGTATGTGTGGCTCTGCCACTGACCATCTGTCCCTTCTGCTTGGCACTGTCTGGGTAACCATCAAAGAGGCTGGTGTGACCCTGTGGCTCCTCTTAAGCTGTCTTAGGAGGTGGTCTGTCCCCAGGGCAAGGTTGCAAGCATCGGTGCCTCTTCAAGCCCTGAACCTCCTTCACAGTCATGTGACTGCCTGGGTAGGGCAGAAGCTGTCAGATGCAGCACATCCAAACCAAATCTGATCATGTTCCCATAAAACTGCATATGTACAGTAGCCCACAAATGGTAAGCCCTGCCTTAAATAGATACCTAGACATGAAATAGAATTGTTTTGTTTTTTTGTTTGGGGGAGTTGTTTTTGTTTTTCTTTTTTGGTACGGGAATCAAACTCAGGACCTCGCACTTGCCAGGCAGGCGCTGTGCCGCCTAGCTACATCCCTGGCCCGAATTGTTAGAAAATACTCTTTATTTTTTCTGAATACATTAACTCTGAGTTTCATCCATTTGAGATTTTCCTTTGAACTTTTACACTTGGTCTTAGCCAAAAGGCCGAGAAGCAATTTTCTTTGAACTTTTAAAAATGTATGTGATCATTTGATATTTAAAGTGGTAGTACTAAAATTTTCTTTTATTATACTTTATTCATTGAAATATCTGTTACATTTCCTTGCAGAGTAAAAGCCGTCCTCATTCTAGGGGAGAATATAATGTTTACAGTACCTTTCAAAGTCATGAACCAGAGTTTGACTATTTGAAAAGTCTAGAAATTGAAGAAAAAATTAATAAAATTAGATGGTTGCCACAACAGAATGCTGCTCATTTTCTACTCTCTACAAATGGTAAGAATTTTTCCTATAAGTGACTGTTTGACTTAGTATCATATTTTAAATTTCCTGTATGAGTGGATTTCATTTTAAGCCATTCGAGAAGTTGATTTTCCTTTAAACTTTGGGTAGGGGGTAAATTACCAGCTGAAATGACAAGTAATAGGTTGAAAATTCAAAACATAGGGCCAGGGATTTAGCTTAGTGGTTCCACCGCCTGCCTCACAAGTGCAAGGACCAGAGTTCCATCCCCAGTACCAAAAAAAAAATTCAAAACATACCCCAAAAAACCCCAGTATTACATCGTCTACTTTGCATGTGTGTTTGCATTTTTATTTTTGTGAAACAAGATATTTATAATTGGAAGTGTTAAACATCACCAAGTTTAGATACCAATGTAGAGCCACCAAGTCTTCTAATACTCAAATAATAGTGATGCATGTTATGATATTTTCTTTTAATATGAAGATTGAGGTTTTTAATTTCAGATAAAACTATTAAATTATGGAAAATAAGTGAACGGGATAAAAGAGCGGAAGGTTATAACTTGAAAGATGAAGATGGACGACTTCGAGATCCATTTAGAATTACAGCACTACGGGTATACACTATATCTTCTTTAAACTTTCCAGCCCTTTCCAAATATTAATCAAGAACAGTGTAACATCAGTTATTTGAAGAATGCTGTTAAGTGAAATATCACGAGCCCATTCATCATAATAGTAACCATGTTTGTGTATGTGTGTTTTAAAGTGGGAGTCTTCAAGTTTTAACCAAAGCAAAAAGTCACACATTATCCTCAGGAAATACAGCTAAGGGTGCTAATCCCATGACAGACCTCTTTCTGAGCAGCACCTGGAATTCAGAGCACTTCCCTGGTGAAATAGCTCAGGTTGCAGATTGGAAGATGAACTATGGACTAGCAAGGTAACATGAATGACAGTGCTAATGGAGTTTCCTCTCAGGTAGCTAAGGCACATTCTGTTTCAGAATTCTTCACCTCTCTATGAACATTGTTAGCTTTAATTATTAAATTCTCTCCCTTCCTGGGACCCCTGGGTCCAATATGAGGTGATCATATTTCATTTCTAATAACTAAGTTATTTTGCATTTTTGCATCAGTTGAGTAAAAATTAAAATCTGAGTGTCGTATAATTAGTGCACACATCAGTGGTTTCTTGGATGAAATATGGTAAAGGGTTTAAAAAAACTTGACTCCTACCCAGATAGGTCTGGTGAGTCACAGGAAGTGCTGCCAGGGTCAGAGTCCAACAAAAAGACCAGCACCCACTTAGAGGCACTCTGGAGAAAGTCACCTAGTCCCAGAGGGTATAGGTGGTATCTGGAAATGTTTGGTCATCTGATTTTTCAGTGAGGTTTGAGTACCACCACACAAAGATTCCTTATCTAGGACATTTCACAACAGTGGGTTAGGGTGCTACCAGAAAGGGTGCTGTACACAGAGCTCTTTCCCTGACACATGCCAATAGCAATGTGGCAGGCCTGCCTGAATAGTAGGCATGATCTGTTCTGATGCCATTCCTTAATCCATATTGGGAGGGTAGTGACAGCTCATTGAGGGCCATTTCCATCCCTACTGGCTATAGACAGTGGCTTATAGACCAAGGAGGACAGTTTTTCTCTGATCTCTTTGACATTATCACCAGGTTTCCTATGACTTCATTAAGACTGAGAAAGGCAGTGTTTAATACTAAACTATCAGCCTCATGAAATGGAAAGTATCTTGGTGGTGAGGGCTGCACTGGTACCTGTTCCAGTGCTGTCCCTCTCTTTCACTGCCAGTAGGGTCTCCACCCAGAAGTGCACAAGTAGTCCTCTCTCAGGAGCCCAGGCCTCCCCATAGGACCCCTGCACAGCTCTGTGGGTTGACATGCTTATTTCGGAAAAACTATAGGTCTTGTTGGGCCCAATGTTAGTTTTATTCCAGGCATATGAGAAGCATAATTTCTATATTGGCTACACTGTGAAGGTAGAGGGTTACAGGCTAGGTAACTTAGGTCTGCATTTGAGTTCCTGATTCTCTTAAAGTTCAAAGTGAACTTTTAAATTGTCTGACTTTACCTGGGCAAGAGTCAGAAATGTTGCTGTTTTAAATTTTTTTCTCTGAAGTTATTTTAGTGCCAGAGAAGGGTTTAGTTAAAAGAAGTATTCTATTAGGAGTATTACAGTTGTCATGCGGTTTGATTAATTAAAGACTTGTTAGAGAGTCATGGCAGGGTGTGTGTGTGTTTTAAGGAGAAGTTTAATTCAGCTCACAGGCAGGCATGTGTTTCAATCCTGTAGTGGTAGAACTGACCCTCTGTGTTCTAGGGACACTAGGGGTTTGGTCTGCACTGGCTGAGTTAAAATGAGAGCTGTATCTCTCTATATATTTTTTCAAGGTCATTTTTACGGAATTTAGCCAGAGAGGACTCTGGAGATATTTCTTACCAGCCTTCAAGGCTCCCTTCTGGTGTCTAATTACAATTTAAGAGGGAATACTATCTCTATTTTGTTTTTATTTTGAAGCTCCTGCTTCCCTTACAGCCAGACATTAGTGAGGTACAGGTCTTTTCCTCTTTTCCCGTGTGGGACACTGTTCCTCATGACCATACTCTCGCCTTTGTGTTTGGTACACATGTTCTCTGGTCAGTTCCTTCATCTCCATCTCTGCCCTTTCCATATAGCAGTGTGTTACCCAGAAGCCTCCCTTGCCATATACTCATCACAGAGATGGAAGGAGTGGAGTGCCATTTTTGCTTTTTTTGTTGGTTTTTTTTTTTAGCATTTGATGAAGTACAATATACATACCCAGACATGCATCTACCATGTAAGTGACCGTGAATGTTCAGACTGGACATGCCTATATAGCTAGCTGCAGATAAGCAATGCAGCATCCTTAGCTCCCCAGAACCCTAACCCCCTGGTCCTTTCACATGCATACGGCCTCATCACTGAGGCCCATGTTGTTGGCACAGAAAAGTAGATGCCATGAAAGAAGAGGTTTGTGCATCCAGCTGCAAGGAGAAAGGCCAAAGGGAGTGTCGCCACTGCACCTTCCAAGATGTTGCTGTCCAGTGTCTGGGTTGTGGCCACCAGAGGACAGAGGAAAGTGAAGCCTCAGTTCTCTGGAGGCAGTTAGGGTCCGTTTATCTTCCTTTCTTCAACAACAATGTGTCTGCACCAGTGATGGAGACAAGGAGAAAAAACTTTCAATAGATAACTATTCCATTTTGTACCTGTTATCACAGCTCTCCCAAGTGGTTATTTGGGTGTGTTGCCTATACAGAAATTGCATTTGTCCCTTTTTGTTACCTGTTCTATGTGCTGTGACCTTTGTTTTGAATGCCTATTTCCTTCCATTTTTAGGTTCCTATATTGAAGCCCATGGACCTCATGGTAGAAGCAAGTCCACGGCGAATATTTGCAAATGCTCACACATATCATATAAATTCCATTTCAGTAAATAGTGATCATGAAACATATCTTTCTGCAGATGACCTGAGAATAAACCTATGGCATTTAGAAATCACAGATAGAAGCTTTAGTATCCTTCACCAGATGGTTGTCTCTGCATTTTTCTTAGGATTATTGTTCAGTTATATCTCATTAACATTTGTAGTCTTACATGTCAGAGTCTATAATCTTTTGAGTATAGTTGGCTACTTAGCCTATAATGTACGTTCTCTGTGATTTAGTATCCTTAAAAATACAGACTCCTTTCTGCCTTGGGGAAAGTTCTCTGTAAGAGGATTGACCTGAAGCTTATGGCCTACATGATTCAGAGATAGTCTTTAAGTAGTGATATTTGGAAAATCAGCATTGCGTGTTTTTTCTTCTAAATTTGCAAATAGGGCCGGGGATTTAGCTCAGTGGTTTTGCTGCCTGCTGTGCAAGCACAAGGACCCGAGTTTGATCCCCGGTACCAAAAATAAATAAATAAAAAAGAAGTATTCCTTGGGCCGGGCATTTAGCTCAGTGGTTCCGCTGCCTGCCTTGCAAGTCCAAGGATCCGAGTTTGATCCCCGGTACCAAAATAAAAAATAAATAAATAAATTTACAAATAGGCAATAAAATAGAAAATATGGCTTATATTATAATGGTGTTTGGTTACATATGAGAACTCTGTTCTTGTTGTGGCTCAGCCACTGTCTTGCCTTGGGCACCTGAAATGGCCATTCCCTGTTTACACCTCCTACCCTCCAGTGAACTATACAGACCCTGTCCAACTGTGCCGTTTGGAACTCTGGTGGGAGATGGAGGCACCCAGTCACAGTGGGCCTCTCCCAGCCCTGAGGCACTGCCTTAGTGCCCGTGGTCCTCAACCCTCGTCCAGGTCCTCCTGGGTGGTCACAGGATTATGGCTCCTAGGAGCTTTTCCAGTATTCCATCCTGTGAGCTCTTACCGCCACATCTCCCAGATCCCAGTTGTCTTTTTTTCTTTCTTTTGAGACAGGGTCTTGCTATGCAGTTCGGGCTGACCTTGAACTTACTCTCAGTGATCTTCCTGCCTCAGCCTCCCAAGTTCTGGGATTATAGGAGTGCGCCACCATGCCCAGTTCCACCTGTCTCCTTAAGAGTCATCAGGCTCTGACTCGTCCCCTCTCCTGCTACAGCCTGCATGCTCAACAGCCTGACCCTGGGCAGCTATAAAGCTCTCCAGTCTCTAGGTCACTGTCCCTTGCTCTGGTGTCTGGTGATTTGAGCTGTGGATTTAGTTTGTTGGTTTTCTCAGTTGGAAGTTATATCTCCCTATTGCAAATTAGCCCACAGCTGAATTCTTTCCTTTGTTGTTATTTTGATTGACTGATTTCTGTGTTTGACAGTTTTTGTTGGATTATTCTCATGACTCAGAACAAGTTTTTACCTAATATAAGATAATTAGAAAAATAGTATCTTTTAGAATTTGGCAGTATTCTTGTGTTTGTAATTATTTGTGTATAGGAGTGAGATTTTGCATAGGTAGCACTCAGTTACCTTTCTTTCATATGTCATTCAGTGTGCACTGTCTTACGATTAGAGACTTCATAGGACAGTCATAACAGCGTAATGAAAGCAGGGCTCATGTCAGATCTACCCCTGTCAGCTACACCCTGTGATCTCTTTGCTGCATCTGTCCAAAGCCTGCCAATTGTGTGATCCCTTAGAATAAGTGTGTTTGGTCAGCCCCCTTAATGTCTGGTCTCTTAAACTCACTGCATGCTTCCTCCATGTCTTACTCACTTGGTTGGGTATAGTAGCTAACCCAATCAGCTAAGCACTGTGCCTTAACACTGTGCTCCAGACATCGTGGATATCAAGCCTGCTAACATGGAAGAGCTGACGGAAGTCATCACCGCTGCTGAATTCCATCCACACCAGTGCAATGTGTTTGTCTACAGCAGCAGCAAAGGAACCATCCGGCTATGTGACATGCGTTCCTCTGCCCTGTGTGACAGACATTCTAAGTGTAAGTACCTGGTGCCTCTTAATGGTATCATTTAAATTCTTCTGTTTTCCAGACAGTAACCCATTTGCACAAATAGAAGTTTCTCTTGCCCTTCCCACATCCAGGCAAGTATAGGGGCCTCTGCCTTTGAAAAGCCCAAAGGCAGCTCTGTTGTTAGTCATTGCTAATGGGAAGTGGAACTTACAGTCTTGTTCTTGCAGGTGACCACCCTAAATTGACTATTGTGAGGCAAGGGCTTTTGGTGCCAGTGGTTTACTTCTGCCTCGGATCTCAGGGCCTCATCTGAGCGCTTCCCAATCTGGGGCCAGATGAAAAACATTTGTGATCTCTATCTTTGTGTATTGGGACCCAGGCTGAGACTGCCGCTATGCATTTCACCTGTGACCATTCTCAGCGCTCATGTGACCTGTGTTCATATTAAGCTTTGCTAGATTCAAAGCCAGTTCCAGGGGGAGAAATTCTACAATTTAATTTGCTGAGCCTTGAAATTCCTTCTAGTTGATGAAAGTAGATTTTGTTTATAGTCATAAAAAATAGGTTTGCCGGGCAGAGTGACACATTCTTGTAGTTCCAGCTACTCCAGAGACTGAGGTAGGAGGGTCAGTGACCAAGGAGTTCTAGACCTCAACTGAAAAAATGTAGAATAGGCTCGGATGTATGGAAAATCATAGCCCATGTTGTGTTATGCAACGTGCATCCCGGAAATCTTGCTGACCTTTCCCAGTACCGATAGGGGTAACTATCTGCTAAAGTGTGCCAGCACCAACAATACCTTGATGAAATACCCTTGCTAGTTCTCAACAACTTTCTGCCTTCTCTTCCCTGAGGCTGAAGTTTTTTTAAGAATTCCATGCACCTTTTAGAATTACTCCAATGAAGAAGAAATATTATAAACATTTACCCTTTGTCTTCAAGATAACATTATTAAGAAAACGGTTTTAGATTTTAAGAGTAGTTTTTGTCAGCAAATTAATTTAGTTGAATAAATGCTAAATGTTATACTACCTGGCTTCAGGTTAACTTCCCATGTAGAGCCAACAAGCAGTATAGGTTCATTTAAGTCACAATAGAACATGACTATTCAATATGTAAAACAGAGCCTTTTTTGCTGACTGGCTTTGGCCAGTGGGTCCACTTGGATGTTAATAGTGAACCTCCACATTGCCAGGTTAAGAGATCAGACATCGTCCAGCAGACCTACAAGCTGACCCTTTCTGAGAGGTGCTGTCTATCAGGTATCATTTTCCTGTGATGGACATGGATGGAGCAGAACATTGTATGGTCAGGCCTGGTGCCATGAGGACACGGGCATCCATGCAGTAATGTGACCGTCTCATGCCACAGTCCTGAAACTAGTATATATCAGGATGCTCTAATGGCCTTGCCCATCTTATTTTGGTTCCAAATCTGTAGGAAATTTGGATGTCTGTGCTTCGGGTGTTCACCCTCTGTCAGGCCTGGTGGTAGAGTATCCACACTTCTTACCTACAGAATTGGAGAAAATCAGAAAATTTAGAGAAGGCCAAAAGGTCAGGAGATTTAGCAGTGAGTTCTCCAGAGTCAGTGAAGGTCCAAAATCTCCTTGAGTTTTAAAATGATCTGTTCTCTGATTTGAAACAGAAGCTGGAAATATTTTGTTTTGTTTTTCAGTCTTTGAAGAGCCTGAAGATCCCAGCAGTAGGTCCTTTTTCTCAGAAATAATTTCATCCATCTCTGATGTCAAATTCAGCCACAGTGGTCGATACATGATGACGAGAGACTACCTGTCAGTGAAGGTATGGGACCTTAACATGGAGAGCAGGCCTGTGGAGACCCATCAGGTGCATGAGTACCTGCGAAGCAAGCTCTGTTCCCTGTACGAGAATGACTGCATCTTTGACAAGTTTGAATGCTGCTGGAATGGTTCAGACAGGTGAGCCTGCATCATTTCAAAAGTCACTGAATGACTGCAGATTCCTTAGGATCTCCAGTAAGGCTTTCGGACTGGGACTCATACCCAGTTGTCATAAGGGGCTGGGGATTGCCGCTCTCCAGAGGAGCAGAAGAGGAAAGTAATCTTTTGGTTTTGTTTTTTGTTTTTTTGGTACTGGGGATCAAACTTGGGACCTTGCGCTTTTGAGGCAGGCGACAGAAGCACTGAGCTTAAATCCCCGGCCCCAAGGAAAGCTAATGGGATTGTGTTCTCTAGGCCTTTTGTTTGTTTGCCGATGATACCAATTAGAGAAAAAGGACAAATTTCTCATCTTATAGCCCAACTACATTTAGACAGAAGCAAAGCACAACATGCGTAGTATATAATTGATTACAGTTGTTTATTACACCTAACTGAAAAGGAAGGGGTAGGAAAGTCCTTTGCCTCGTTGGGATGGCCACAGTTAGCTTTCACATTTAGAGAGATGTGGAGAAGAACACCATCAGAGCTCACTGCCCATTGTGCTGTTCTGAAGTGCTGATTTACTGTATAGTGTGGGAGTTACAGGGCCTCCATGATTTATTTTTTGTACATTTAAGCACTATTTCCATTGCTGCTGAGAGTTAGGTCTTTAATATACCAAAACAAAAACAAACCACACATATCAGATAATGGAAGGAGATTATCTTACTTTATGTAGAATATTGGTTTAGAATTTAAGTGAACAAGAGTTCAGTTACTGGTCACAAGTGGCTAGGCATTCAAAACACTTCAGCATAAGTACATAGAAATGCTAGCTATGCCAGGCATTGGTGGCCCACACCAGTAATTGCAGCACTCGGGAGGCTGAGGCAGGAAGATTGCCACGCGTTCAAGGCCAGCCTGGGCTACATAGTGAGTTCAGGGCCAGCCTGAACTACAAAGGGAGACCCTGCCTCAAATACCACCACCACCAAAAAAAATGACTCCAAAGCCCTACCATGGCCTCAGGGACACTAGCGGATATCAGGAGACTGTACCTCAGTCTCCACAGCTCAGTGGTGTGGCTTGGACCCACACAAAGTATGGGACCCTCAAGGTTTTATGAGGAAAGACATCCATCTAAGTAGGCATAATTTATCTAAGACCTTGGATTTGGGTGGCTAGAAATCTCCTGAGGTGTGTCCCCATAGCCTGTATTAGCAAGCCACTCAATACGGAAAAACTTTACACTGAAGAGTTTAATGTCAGCCGGGTGTGGTGGTACACACCTGCTTATGTGGGTCTGGGGCCACCATTCAGATGTGGAGACTTGAAGCAGTAGCTGGTACTCCTGAGGCCAGCCCAGGGCTTTTGAGCCATTCTCCATTCTGAGTTCAACTCCTTCTTCATATCTTTTCTACACTGAAAAGTTAAGTACCTCCATGTGGCAAATGTTCTGGGCATCAGGGGACAGACCTGTCCAGATCTGTTGATAGACTCACTTGCTATCCTGGAGTGTTTCCCAGAGAGGCCAAGGACTGTATTTCTCAGGTCACACAAAGCAGCATGAGCTTTGTGCTGGCATAGGTTCCCACAAGGCAGAAGCTGTGTAGGCAGTGGGGTTGTATAGCAGCTCTTGAAAGATCCTCTGCCTTTATGGTAGGTAATAAACAAACCTCACTTTGACCTCCCACCTAAAGGTGGGAGCACTCAGGAACCATGGTAAATCCAGTGAGAACACTAGGGCTCTTGTACCTGTAATAGAGATTACCCTGGCCAGCACCTTCAGGCCTCCTAGGATTCCCACAGATTAGAACCACCAAAATGGCACACAGCAAAAAATTACAAACACATGTAGGAAAAAGCCACCATGTGCAATAGAGGCAACAGAATTTCTAGGTATTGAAGTGTTGAAATTATCATTACGGTTTATAAAATAAGAATGCTTGAAATAGTTATCAGACTAATGGAGGAAAACAAAAATCTGAACAAAGAACCCAGATTATTAAAAATGACCTAGGAGACTTGAAAATGAATCAAACAGAACTTCTGGAAATGAAAAATTAGCAGATGAAAATCCATGTATGGGTTTAGCAGCAAATCTAGTTTAGCTAAAGAGACCTTGAATTGGTGAGCTAAAAGGAAGATAAGAAGTTATTCATAATAAAGCCCAGAGAGACAGCATGAAAGGTAGGTTCCTCCTGGCTTCTCCAAACTTCTGAGGTCTCCGCCGCACCTTTGGCTTCACACATCCTGCCCTCTCAGGCACACTGCCTGGCCTCCCAGGCCTTCTGAAATCTGGGTGGAAGCCTTCCTGACCCTACAACTCTTCCGTTCTACATGCACCTAAAACCAGCGCCACTCAGGTGATACCAAGGTTTGCCGCCAGCTCGAACAGTAGCCAGGCTTCCTTCTCTCTTGGCTGTAGGGATTAAGTGCCTGGATCACTGAGCACTCTGAATCCAATTCCAAGGAACAAATTCTCTAGGCCATCACCATTCTGGAACATGGTGCTCTGGGGCTTTCTTCTCAAAGCAAAGTCTTTCACTTTTGCAATTTTGAGCCTGCAAAGGATGGATTCCTGCTGCTTCTTGTGATGCCCTCAGACCATCTTTTCTATTTTCCTGTCCCCCTCTCAGCAGTCAAGATCTCCTCTGCTCTGTCTTTGCAGTCCACAGCTTTACTGGTGCTTCCTTTCTGGCCAAACTCAAAACATTTTAAATCATTCTCCTGGGCTCTTTGCTCTTGATTCTCAACATAGATCTGACTAAAAGCCCCCAGCAGTAGCCATGCCATGGCCTCAACACTGGACTGCCTTGAAATTTCTTCTGGGAGATTAATTAGTCCCCCACCCTTAATCTCAGTCTCAGGCAGTCTCTGGACATGAGCAAAATGCAAACAAACTTTCTGCGAGCCATAGCACCCTTTGGCTGGAGTCCAGCAACCAGTGCAGTCCTTCTTCCCAACAGAAACCTTCTGAACCAGGTCTTTACTGGCTTCTGGGTCTTCTGAGCTCTAATGAGAATCTCCCATACAGAGCAGCCTAAGGCGTTCCAGCTGTACTTCAGCCAGCATCTCTGAACCTTTCCTAACTCTTGCCCTTCTCACAAGCCAGTTCCAAAGGCTCTTGAGCCACATAGCCAGGTATTGTCACCGCACCAACCCCAGTTCTCTGGTACCAAATTTCTGTGTAAATTGCTTTTCTCTCGTTGCTGAGACAAAATACCCAAAACCCAAAGTTAAAGGGGAAAGGATTTATTTAGCTCACAGGTCATAGAGGTTTCAATCCATAATCGGCTGGCTCCAAGACAGGGATGGCAGACAGGCTTCACAGGAGAAAAAACATAGCATGCACAAGGTAGCAAAGGTAACAAGGGACCTTAACAACATCACCCTACCCCTTTTATTCAGACTACTTAGGGCCAGTAGCAGTCACGCCCTTAATCCTAGTGCCCTTGGGCCTAGCCCCACCATGAATCAATCGCACACTAGATTCAGCCACCTCCAAAATAGCCTAAGACCACATGAGGCTTTGTGGGGACATCTAGACACAAACCATAACAACACCAAACACCTGGTAAAAGCCCCACTACCTTGGTCCTATTGCATTGGGGAGTTAAGCCTCAGTGTGACCTTTTCTGGGGGCAGTCACACTCTAACCATCGCAGAGCCAGAAGCTACTGTGATAACAGTATATTGTAAGTTTCTAACTATTTTCAGTGTGCTGAGTGAAAACTCCTATCAGCTTAGAAGTGTGCATTGAAATAAATGATCATTTAAAATCATAGAAGATAAAGGTATTTTCAGACAAAAACACAGATCTGAAGGAAGTCACTTCACTGCAGTATATGCAGTATATGCTTCCAGCATGAGAGGGCTTCCAGAAAGAAGATCTGTGACTTAGCCAACAGATGAGCCTAACAGCCACCAAAGATGTGAGCAGAGTTAACACCTCATGGCCATACAGATCTGTGTTGACCTGTCCCAACTGGTTAGCTGTGCTGGGGGGACAAAACTATAACTGTACAGTGAATAAGCTCTGAGTTTTCAAAGACGTAAGAAATTTTAGGGGAGGATGTTTAGATTTGGAGACTGAAGGGCTTCTGAAATAAGGCCCTAAAAACCCAGGCTAGGAAAAAAAAAATACTACACAATTCATCTACATTAAGATTTAAACTTAGCCAGGCATGGTGTCACATGCCTGTAATCCCAGCACTCTGAAAGGCTGGGCCAGAAAGACCAAGGAAGAGCCCAGCCCAGGCAATTTAGCAAGACCTTGTATCAAAATTGTTTTTAAAGGCTGGGTGATGTTGCTCAGTGCAGAGGCCTTGGGTTCAATCCCCAGTAGCAGCAAAAAAAAAAAAAAGTACACAGGGTTAAAAGATCCACTTTAATGAGTGGCCACCCTCTTGGGGACAGGATGGAGAATAACCCTTCTAAAGGTACACAGTGAGATTGAACTCTTTCGGTGACAGCACATGGGGACATGGATATTCACTGTACTGTTCTTCATTCCTCTTGATGTATGTGAAATACTATAAAATGTTCCAGTCACACATTTCCAAGAACATCTGGAAGATTTCCCAATATTTGCTAAATCTTCCAAATACTCCCTTACCTTCTTGGCTAGATCTTTCCTGTGGAGGGGAAGGATGAAAGGGGCAAGTTCTTCTCTGCTGTATTTGTCACTACCTCCGTTCATGCTATGGTGTGGCACTGCCTTATTGTACCATAGGTTATCTAACAGGAAGATGTAGCTGCTTGCTCGTGAGTATGCTTACATCTGTTTGGCCCTCTTCCCTTCTTTGAGGGGACAGGACTGTTACAGAGCTAGGTGTTCTTGCAGGTGGTTGCCAGGTGAGCTAGGGCAATGCCCACCTCCAGTGCAGGCATCGTGTGTTAAGAATTTTTAAGTAGCCATAAAATTGTATACTAGTTGCTCTGCTTTTTATTGTTACAGGACACAGAAATGTGTTATAATACTTCTTCCTGAAAAATATCTTGTTGGTCTGTGTTCTAAATAATTGTTGCAGTTGCTGTTGAGTTTTAATAACAAATGTAAGCTGCAGATTAATACATTTTTATTCTACTTTTGTAAGCATTGAATTCTGCATGGGAATGAATTTAGAGGACTCCAGTTACAGTGTGCCCTAGCAAGCAGACTGTCAAGCACACTCGTTTTGGAACTAAGTTCTTAGTGCTGTTTCTTTTTTTTTTTTTTTTTTTTTCCAGGGATCGAATTCGGGTCCTTGCACTTGCGCAGCAGGTGGTGAAACCACTGAGCTAAATCCCTGGCCCCTTAGTGCTGTTTCTGTAGTGCCCTTAAACATAGTTCACATCTCCAGCCCTTCTGCTACTACATACCCCTGTGTTTTAACAATAGATTTGAAACAATCAAGGAGCTTGCGGTTTCCTTTTCAAGTGTCTGTCTGTCTGTGTGTGTGTGTGTGTGTGT